GAATTATATGGCAGGCCCTATCCCCTGCCTGCCTCACCCAAAATTCTTGTGCCCTACATGAGCACCACAGGTCAGACAAAACTGGAGGGGCTATATGCTTGATACCCCTCTTCTAAAAGACCTGCAATTTTTTTAAGAAGGCTGTTTGCATAAAGTTTCTGAAATTTAGCCCAGGGAATTTCTCTGGCTTGGAAAATGCCTTTGCTTTGTCTTGTGAAATACTAGTAGGATTTACTGGAGTTATACATGGATGAAAATGGGCATTTCACTAATGTCACTTGCACTGTCAGCAAATGATGGCAGACTGCCAAAATAATAACTCAATATGGATATTCTTTAAAGTCAGACTCATGGTACCACCACTAAAATAGCTGAATTTATTAGAGACTGTTTTTATGTTTTCCTTCACATTAAAATGGAGTGTTACAAACATTTAACTTGCAAAGTCAGACACTCAAAATCTGGAAAGTACCAGATTTATGATTGCCATGAAAACCTTCATTTGTTCTTCTTGTGTATATCATGTTTCAGGATAAAATTCTCTAAATGATTTAAATGATTTACGAGCTTAAATCTCAGTTTCAAAAGTGACTAGATCCTTAAACCCTATGGGCATGTCCAGATGAGCGTGGCTGTGCGAAATGTGGCACCGCGAACGTGTCTACAGCGTCACACACCGCACAGTCAGGTGTTCCCCGCACTGCAAGGGTGTGCTGCCCATGTGTGCTCTGTTTTTTTTTCCATGGGTTTTTTCTCCATACAGTCAGCCTGGCCCAACAGTTCATAGGGCACATGGAGGCAGGACTCGACCTGGCCTGCTGGCATGTGACTTCTGCATGTGGTCCTGGGAGCCTGGATGACAGCAAGAGCTGGCCCAGTCCTAGTCAAGGGCACGTGCCAGTGAGCTGGCACCATGCGGCATGTGCAGCCCCTGGGTCTCAAGCAGCACCATGTGCTGCCGGGGGGCTCTGCCAGGAGAGGTCATGAGCACCAAACAGTCCATCCCACCCCCACACAGTACCCGCCACCTGCACATCCCTGCTTTATCTGGGACAGAGCCTGGGTCTGGGCCACTGCTGCAGCCTTGCCCCGCTCCTATTTGCTCCAGCATGCTGAGGCAGCGTGCAGGAGCAGCAGAGGTATGCAGCCGGCATAGAGATGCCCTGGCTGGGTGCTCCAGTGTCTCTCTGGAGAACTCAGCCTCCAGGTGCTTCAGGGCATGATCTGGAAATGTGCCACACCTGAGTTGCGTTTTTCAGTATGGTTTGTTTTTTTTTTTAATACTGGGATTTCCTGGTATCAAATTTAAAGTCCATGCTGCAAATATGCAGCACAGGGAACATTTTTTTCATTCCTAGCATGCCTCCTGTGGCATCTGCTTTCTTAAGCAAGCCTGATCCTGTGGCTCAGGGAGGAAAATGCTGCCCTGGTAGGGGGAAGTGAGTCTTCACTTCCACTGCTTTTTGAGCATTTTGCATTTCAAAGTCATTGGGAAAACTGTGTGAACAGCACTGGGGCAGAGGACAGACTTCTCTACATGGTGCCTGCTTGAAACTCCCTTCCCAAAAAGGTGGAAGAGACACCCAGACTGCACTGCTTGGAAAGCCTTTAAAGTGACAGTCCTCGCTGCAGTGTTTGTGTGTGCATGAGAGGACACTTGATAGATGGGATCCAGAATCTCTGTGCATGTGCTCGGAGAGAGGAAAGGAAAGCCTGGTGGACTGATCATAGCAAACCCGAATGCCTCTGACTTTCCTATATGAAAACTCACATGTACAATACTTAGACTTCTTCAGCCCTCTGTCATTAGCCCACCCTGTTGTATGGGACATCATCTGACTGTCTCCACTGTTGAATGTCTCCTAAAATCTCACTTCTCCACATACACAAATTGAAAAAGAGAGCAGGTAGGGGAATAAAGGATTGGTGACCCACTAGCTTTCAGTTCACCCTGTGCACTGTAGGCCAAAAAAACATTGTAGATTAGTGTGTCCAGCAGACACCAGAAAGATACAGGTGCTACATAGAAAATGTAGACATATTTCCAGGAAACAGGGGAAATTATCTACATTTCCTTATCCCTAGAAACTTTTGTAAGCATGCAAAGAATGGAGAACTTTCCATGATACAGAAAGTTATCCCTGCAAGGTAAGAATCCCAGTTATCCCCACAAAGTAAGAAAGTTATATCCACAAGCTATATTCCCATCTAACTAGGCAGCTGTGTCACCCAAAGCTATTGCTATTCTCATGGATCAGTAGCAATGCTATCAGGTCTGAGCCGAAGTAAACCCCTAAACCAGGGTTTTACTGGACTGAAGGCCTGTGGATCACATGCAGGCTGTAAGGGATTAAATTGCAGTTCCCCAGGCTCCTGCCTAGCTGCTGCCACCTCCTCTCTTTGCTCCCATGGCTCTGGCTGCAAGAGCAGCTGGAGTCTCTGGGCTTCCCTCCCTTCTTCTGAGGCTGCTGTTTCCTGCCCCAGGGAGCAGGACAGTGTAGCAGCACAGGGCACTGATGGTGAGCCTGGGATGCAAAGTTCAGTGAGGGGTGGGGAGATTCAGGGGTCACAGGCATGAAGTGAAGGGGTGGGATGCCCTATGTGCATGTGTGCAGTATAGGGGGTGGGAATCATGGGAAGTGGTGCAGTGGGGGATTCATTCATGGTCCTGTAATGTAGTGGTGGGAGGAGGGGGTCACAGATGTGCAGTACAGTGATGGTGGGTCATAGACATGTGGTGTTCAGGGTGGGGGGAAAGGTGTGAGTGCATGGTACACCAGCGAAGGTGTCCATGGGGTGTGCTTCCTGTGGTGCTGCCCATGGGATATGTGGCCTGTGAGTGTGGTCTGTGAGTCCTGCAACACTTGGAAGTTGCACAGCCCTGCCCTAGATGATAAGTCTAGAGTTTGTTCAAATCACAATAAAGGGTGATGCTTATTTGATTTCATTGGGCCTATTGAGAACAGCCTAAAGTGAAAACTTGCTTAGCTGGCAAGTTGCACACATCCCTCTGAGCAGCACATTTGCTGACATGATGAATTCACATAAAACTCTTTTGGGACAGTAGGGGCCAATACAGGATCTATTCCAAATCTGATTGCACGTGGCTGTCCCCTCTGATCATGGCTGTCACAACCCCAGATGCCCCTTGGCTTTTGTACTCTTAACTAAATCCCTGCCTCTCTTTTTAGAGGAAACTACATTTGAAGCTGGAGTCAAAGTTCAGATCCACAGCCAATCTGAGCCACCATTCGTCCAAGAGCTTGGTTTTGGAGTGGCCCCTGGATTTCAGACCTTTGTCGCCACACAAGAGCAAAGGGTAAGTCTTTAGTTTTACTGACAGAGTGAGACCTCTCAAACATTTTGATATTATCAGTTGCTTCAGAGAATACAGAAAGAGAGAGAGTGAGATAGACCCTTTCTTGTAGCAGCACTTTCAGAATAATTTTGCATTTTTCCCTGTTATCTAGGGATCATGGAACTGGTCAAGACAAGGCAGCTACTAAAGGGGGAAAGATGCTCTCTGATCCACTGGGCAAATGGTTTGAAAACTTTGGTCATTCCTGTTTTTGGTATTAGGCAAATTTCAGATTAACTTGCTCAAATGTGGTGGCTATGGGCTTCCTGGTGGCAATTCCTATTCTAAAGTCTCAACTACAAACTTTCTCTGGGGCTTGGAGCCAGCCCCGCTCTCCCTGTGGCTGGGAGGGAGCTGCCCCGGGACCCAGAACAGTTTCCCTCATCCCCTGGGGCTCAGGGCCAGCCCCATTACCCCCTAGCTGGGAGGGAGCTATACCACCCCCCAGGGCTCAGGACAAGCCCTGTGCCCTCTGCCAGCCTGTATAGATGCTTCCTTGGGAGACCTTTAATAAGCCTGAATTTTCTGCACAGAAAATTTGGTGCATTAAGTGCACATGTAGATGTGCCCAGTGTGTGTGTTTGCTTCTCTTTTTTATTTTAATAGCAAATCTAGTTACTATGGAATTTATATCTTTGAAACTCTTGGCAAAGAAATTTATGGAGCAAGCATGGGTTTGGAGAGAGATATTCTGAGGTTGGGGCATGTATGTGTTTGGATGGGGAGGAAATTAAAAGAAAATCTCTGCCAACCAAGGAATTATCCTAGCCTGGTGTCTGAGGGTGTGTGTAGATGAGACAGGGACCCTAAATTGAAGTGGTGGGTTTTTAAAAACACTGCTTCAATTTAGGGCAATGTAAATCCCCGTGTCGTGTACACCCATGTCTTACCTGCTTCTCTGGCAGTGGGGAGGGGAGGGGAGGGCAAGCTGCTGGTGGGCAAAGCCGTCCCTGAGCTGCAGGGGGCCTGGTACTTTCCCAGGCTGCTGCCAGGCCGCTTGCATGGGCTTACTGCAGAGCCCCTGAGCTGCACAGAGCCCAGTGCTTCGCTCTGCAGCTGTAAGGCAGCAAACTAAAACTCCTCCTCGGAGTTTTAGTTTGCTGCACCTCAAGTCATTTAAGGCAGATTATGCTGCCAAATTTGCTACACCAGCTGGAATTACCGCACAAAACACTGCCGACACGTGCAAACACCAACATCATTAAAGCAGTACAGGTCTGATCTCAGACAAGGGGTTGGGCAGCAGGCAGCTGCCTGAGGCAGGGGTGTGGGAAGCAGCTGCCCCAGAAGTGGGACGGCTCCTTCCCAGTCCTTGGAGCCCAGGCATGACCCTGGTGCTGCCTGCCAGCCCAGGGCTGCCATGTGAGAGCAGAGTAGGACAGGAGTAGCTCTTCCCTGAACTTCTCCACAGCCCTGACCCTGTTGCTGCCTGACAGCCTGGGGCTGGCACCCAGAAGGAGCCTAGAGCGCTCTTTGGCTGCCATATGGGAACAGAGCAGGGCAGGAGTAACCCTGCCCTGAACTGCTCCCATTGGAGCAGATTTGCTCCTGAGGGACGCACATAGTTTCATAGTTTCATAGTAGGTAGGGTCGGAAGGGACCTGAGCAGATCATCAAGTCCAAACCCCTACCATGGCAGGAAAAAGTACTGGGGTCAAACAACCCCAGCAAGGTGTCTATCTAGCTTTCTTTTAAAGACCCCCAGGGTAGGAGCAAGCACCACTTCCCTTGGAAGTTGGTTCCAGATCCTAGCCGCCCTGACTGTGCAGTAGCGCCTCCTGATGTCTAGCCTGAATCTACTCTCTGTCAACTTATGGCCATTATTCCTTGTTACTCCCAGTAGTGCTCGGGGGAACAGGGACTCTCCCATTGCCTGCTGGTCTCCCTTGGCCAGTTTACAGACGGCCACCAGATCCCCTCTCAGCCTTCCCTTGTGGAGGCTGAACTGGTTCAGGTCTCGTAGCCTCTCCTCGTAGGGCCTGCCCTGCTGCCCCCTGATCATGCGGGTGGCCCTCCTCTGGACCCTCTCAATGTTGTCCACATCCCTCCTGAAGTGCAGTGCCCAGAACTGGATGCAGTACTCCAACTACAGCCTGACAAATGTCATATAGAGGGGGAGGATCACCTCCTTGGACCTGCTCATGATGCATCTGTGGATGCATGACAAGGTGCGGTTGGCCTTCCTGACTGCATCCCCACATTGGCAGCCCATGTTCATCTTGGAGTCTATAATGACTCCAAGATCCTTTTCTGCCTCTGTGCTGATGAGAAGGGAATTCCCCAGCCTGTAGGTATGTTGCTGCTTCTTTCTCCTTAGGTGCAGTACCCTGCACTTGTCAGTATTAAATCCCATCTTATTGTCATCCGCCCACCTCTGTAACCTGTCCAGATCCAATTGCAGCCTGTCCCTCCCTTCTAGCGTGCCCACTTCTCCCCACATCTTAGTGTCATCTGCTAATTTGAACAAGGTGCTTTTCACCCCCTCATCCAAGTCGCTGTAGACATGCTCCCAGGGAAAGCTTATTGCCCAGTATTTTACTGTGCAGTAAGCTTTCTGTGCATTAACTGTGAGTACAGACACTCCCACTTAATGAGAAACTTCAGTGCATCTACCCACAGAACTTTGCCTTTCATTGAAGAAGGCAGTTATAGAGTTAAAGGAGAAACTGTATTACTTCTTTTGGCCCATTTTTCAACCTCCTTGTTAATGATAAGCTGTCAAGTTTTAGTGGAGTGATAGCTGCTATTAGGTCAGCAATGAGTTTGGTTCACTTCAATGCCTGTCCACACATCTGAGGGAAGCCAAACCCATCTGAAAATTCCCAGCCTCAAGAGATAATAGTCATATTGTGTCCAGGCAACTTTGCTGTCTCTAATCGTTACTTGAATAAATTCATCTGAACAAATAGGGCTTGATTCACATTAATACTCAGACTCGTATACACAGCAGAGCAGTGGAAATGGGCATTTAAGTGAGTAGGCATGAATTTTACCCTCAGGTTTTAGAGGGCCTAAAGTGTAGATGGGAACCAAACCCACTGTAATTCATAATTAGAACATATGGCAACGATCCAGGGCTGAAAATCTCTGTGTGGTAACTCCTGTTTTCCAACTTTTGCATCCTTTTTTTTTTTTTGCACTGTCTGACCTTGTAATGAAATGTAACAGGCAGAAGATGCCATCTCCCCAGAATACATCTGCCTTGTTGATCTTTGGCTGAGCAGTTTTTAAAAGCATATGGTGTGTTCTTAGAACTTGGCAAGAGGAGTTGATGTGTAACTGGAAAGCTCTGTTCTTGTGTAGTTTGGGCAACACTGGTGAGGAGATGAAAATGTTATCTGACACTCTGTCTCACTACAAAGCAGAAGAGTAGCAATGATCTCCCCTGGAACAATCCCCTGTGCATCCTTTATCTCCACATCCAGTCCCCCCTGGACTGGCTGCGCTCTGGTGGAAGTGGAGTAAACCCTGGTGATAACACAATTATCAACCTAGACTAGAAGCAGCACTTCTCTAGTGAAGTATTTTACTACTGTTAACTCTGGGCGTGTGTAGATGAAAAGGGCACCCTAAGTTGAAGCAGCGGGTTTTAAAAAACACTGCTTCAATTTGGGGCTGATTAAGCCCCCATGTCGTGTGCACTAACCTACTTGCCTCTGGCAAGGACGGAAAGGGGAGCTGCTGTCGGGCGGAGTGGTCCCTGGGCTGCAGGGGGAGACTGGTGCTTCCCTCTGCAGCAGCGAAAGCCCTGGGGGAGGACAGCAGGGCAGGAGCCCAGCCCACAGCAGGCAGTCCATGCCCACCTCCACCCCGTGCACAGATCTGGGGGGCATGGGTCCCCATTGCCCCCCGGGAGTGCGCACAGAAGCAGGGAGCCAGCCCCCTCCAGCCTGCAGGTGCAGGCCGCAGGCAGCAGAGGTGGGGAGCTTCACTTCACTGCAGCAGCTGCCGTCTCCTGCTGGGGAAGAGGATTGCGGACCTGGGTCCCTGGTCTTGTAGCCCTGGCAGCTAAGGACCCCATCTGGGAGGGCACTGGCAAGGCTGGGGGACCTGTGGGGGGAAGTGAGGGGCATGAGCAGTGATGTGGGAGCTGTGGGAAGGAAGGAGTGAGGGACATGAACAGGGCCAGGGAGCTTTGGGGGTGGGGAGTGAAGGGCACCAGCAGGGCCGGGGGAGGCTGTGGGAGGGAGTGAGGGGCCTTTCATTTCAATCATGGATTTAGGAGGTTTTATCAGAGAATTTGCAGTTTTTTACCAAGGAAAACCAGAATCCCTGGCGATGAATAAATTGTAAGCCTTACTCGGAGTTCATCCCTAGGGTTCCTTACTCATGGGGTTTTGTAAACTTCAGAGACAGGGAGTGTGTTACACTTCAGAGAAGGATTTTGGCAAGTCCTGCCTGCTGGATGAACAGTGGGAGAGCAGAGAATACTTCATGATGGAAATATGTCACTTCATTTTGCTGAGAAGCTCAACTTCCAGGGGTGATAAAGGCTAATTAAAGAATACCATCTCCTTTCCTGTGTCATCCTATGCAGTGTCCTGAACCAGATTACTTTTGGTTAAATTAACAGCTTTGTGGCCAGAAATGGCTTACTGAGTTGAGGACCCTGCAATAGCCAAGGTCTCTGAAATACACCGGCTAAATGTGAGCTCTCCAGTTGCTTTGTTGTGTCTTGCATCTCTTAATTTGAAAAGAGCGTAGCTGCAAAGTTAGTTGAACTGAATTCATCACAGCTTCCAAAAGGCTTTCGGCAGATGACTAATTGCAGCTTGTACGTCTCAAGGCAGAAAGGAGTTAAGATACACATCCAAGGACACATAAGAACAGTAACTGGAAAAGCAACCTATATGACTTTTGTCTTATGTATTTGATCGTGATGTAGCAGAGTCTTCTGCCTCCCAACAAGCATCCTGTTAAATCTTACTACAAGACCTTGATCAGGCAAGTACAGGTCTCCC